TTTACAAATAAACTAGAGGCAATATGTGCGTGCATGCTAAGTCATTTTAGTCAAGTCCAATGCTTTGCAACCCTATGGACTACAGCCTGCCAGGGTCCTCTGTCCAAGGGATTCTCCAGGCAAGAATACTAGAGTGACTTGCTGTGCCTTCCTCCAGAGGATCTTCCCAACCCAGGTATCAACCCCACGTCTGTTTCCTGCATTGGCAGGTGGGTTCTTTACAACTAGCAGCACCTGGGAAGCGCCCAGAGGCAGTATAGCATAGCGCTTAAATGTTCAAGCCAAACTGCTAGGGTTGGAGTTCTAGCTCTATCATTATTAGTTATATATGACCTTGGGAAAATCATCTTTTTGGGCCTCAGTTTCCTTCTCTGTAATATGGAGACAATAACAGTTTATACTTCATAGGGTGGTTGTGAGAATTAAATGCGTTAACATCTGTAAAATGCTTACAGCAATGTCCGGCACACAGTCAGAGCTCAAGAAATGACTGTCAGTATATAAAGCGACCCTGTAACTTGCTCCACATCACAAACTGGCACTGCCAGCGAAGGGAGGATTATGACTAGGATTATGCTGTCTGCTGAAATCCTTCCACTACCCACACAAACTCCTCTTCCCATTGGTCCAATAATATAAAGGTAATGTACAGGTATCTGGGGGCAAATTCTTACTCTGGGCTCTTCTCAGTCAGCTGACATTAGGTGTGTGTGTGTGTGTGTGTGTGTGTGTGTGTGTAGGCTTCCCCACACCCAGGTTCCTGGACCCAGTTCAAGGGTAAGGGTGTGTGTGTGTGTGTGTGTGTGTGTGTGTGTGTGTGTGTGTAGGCTTCCCCACACCCAGGTTCCTGGACCCAGTTCAAGGGTAAGGGTGGGTGTGTGTGTGTGTGTGTGTGTGTAGGCTTCCCCACACCCAGGTTCCTGGACCCAGTTCAAGGGTAAGGGTGGGTGTGGGTGTGTGTGTGTGTGTGTAGGCTTCCCCACACCCAGGTTCCTGGACCCAGTTCAAGGGTAAGGGTGGGTGTGGGTGTGGGTGTGTGGGTGGGTGTGTGTGTGTGTAGGCTTCCCCACACCCAGGTTCCTGGACCCAGTTCAAGGGTAAGGGTGGGTGTGGGTGTGGGTGTGTGTGTAGGCTTCCCCACACCCAGGTTCCTGGACCCAGTTCAAGGGTAAGGGTGTGTGTGTGTGTGTGTGTGTGTGTGTAGGCTTCCCCACACCCAGGTTCCTGGACCCAATTCAAGGGTAAGGGTGTGTGTGTGTGTGTGTGTGTGTGTGTGTGTGTGTGTGTGTGCAGGCTTCCCCACACCCAGGTTACTGGACCCAGTTCAAGGGTAAGGGTGTGTGTGTGTGTGTGTGTGTGTGTGTGTAGGCTTCCCCACACCCAGGTTCCTGGACCCAGTTCAAGGGTAAGGTGTGTGTGTGTGTGTGTGTGTGTGTGTGTGTGTGTGTGTGTGTGTATGTGCAGGCTTCCCCACACCCAGGTTCCTGGACCCATTTCAAGGGTAAGGGTGTGTGTGTGTGTGTGTGTGTGTGTGTGTGTGTGTGTAGGCTTCCCCACACCCAGGTTCCTGGACCCAGTTCAAGGGTAAGGGTGTGTGTGTGTGTGTGTGTGTGTGTGTGTAGGCTTCCCCACACCCAGTTCAAGGGTAAGGGTGTGTGTGTGTGTGTGTGTGTGTGTGTGTAGGCTTCCCCACACCCAGGTTCCTGGACCCAGTTCAAGGGTAAGGGTGTGTGTGTGTGTGTGTGTGTGTGTGTGTGTAGGCTTCCCCACACCCAGGTTCCTGGACCCAGTTCAAGGGTAAGGGTGTGTGTGTGTGTGTGTGTGTGTGTAGGCTTCCCCACACCCAGTTCAAGGGTAAGGTGTGTGTGTGTGTGTGTGTGTGTGTGTGTGTGTGTGTGTGTGTGTGTGTAGGCTTCCCCACACCCAGTTCAAGGGTAAGGGTGTGTGTGTGTGTGTGTGTGTGTGTGTAGGCTTCCCCACACCCAGGTTCCTGGACCCAGTTCAAGGGTAAGGGTGTGTGTGTGTGTGTGTGTGTGTGTAGGCTTCCCCACACCCAGTTCAAGGGTAAGGGTGTGTGTGTGTGTGTGTGTGTGTGTGTGTGTGTGTGTGTGTAGGCTTCCCCACACCCAGTTCAAGGGTAAGGGTATGTGTGTGGGTGTGTGTGTGTGTAGGCTTCCCCACACCCAGTTCAAGGGTAAGGGTGTGTGTGTGTGTGTGTGTGTGTGTGTGTGTGTGTGTGGTGTAGGCTTACCCACACCAACAAGCAATTAATTCCTGGACGCCATCAGTGTGTCTGAGAATTCAGAATTCTACTGAATTCTGACACTATCTACCCAGAGATGGAATCAGATTCCACAGGTAAAGGGTTCAGTCCTACAAAACCATCTCTGCTTCAGATACCAATTGAAACCCCAATTTGTGACCTGTTGTTCTGACCAACTGGCTATTAATTAGAGGTTCCCATGACTCCCTCTTTGGGTTTGATGTATTTGCTAGAACGGCTCACAGAAGTTAGGAATCTCTGTTTACTTACTGTATTACCAATGTATCATAAAGGATATGAATCAACAACTAGATGAAGAGATACAAAGGGCGAAGTCCTAAAGGGACTTCTCTGTTCTCATGGAACTCAGGGCTCAGCACAGTGGCACATGGAAATATTCTGGTTTCCCAGCATGGAAGCTCTTTGAACCCAAACCTTTTAGGTTTTTATGGCGGCTTTATTACATAGGCATGATTTCTTAAAACACTGAGCACTGGGGACTGATTCAATCTCCACCCCTCTCCCCACTGCAGAGGTGAGGTGGTGACATGAAAAGTTCCCACCCTCTAATCACACAGGTGGTTCTGTGGGCAACCAGACCCTGTCCTTAAGTGCTTTTCAAAAGTCATTTCATTAACATAGCAAAATACACCTCCATCACTCAACACTTAGGAAATTCCATGGGGTTTTGGAGCTGTGAGCCAGGAACTATGCACAAAGACCAAATATACGTGAGAAACATACTTTGGTCATATGCATGGTCAATATATATATATATTATAATCACATTACTGCACACCTCTTCAAGTAGAATCCAACTTAGTCCCTCACAATCTGATCCTGCCAATTTAATGCGGCAGGTTTGTTTACAATTTAAAACTACCTTCTTCTAGATATTTTTCAGATGAAAAATGCTTGCCCAATTCGAAATCTGACACACTTAAGGCTTTAAGAATATGTAATATTAATCAACTTCACCACTTTCAGGAGCCTCTCTCTCAAGTATCTCTCTGAGATACTCTGCTTTGCATTCTCAAGTAGCTGCTGTGTGATGAGCTGCAAAGAGATAACTCAAGCAGAATACGGAAAGGAAACACTTTGAAGACACACTAAAGCAAAACTTCAAATGATACAGCACCACTGGGGACTCAAGAGAAATCACAGCGGCTGATAAACCTAGGGAGCATCGACAAGCACCTGGAGTATTTCTTTCTGAAGAGAGGATGGCAGGTGTACACTATGCCAAACTCCGCACAGCTGCAAATCACAGACCAGCCTGGGCAGCTGGTGGGGACCCGCTGGCTAGGTGGTAATTACTGGTCAGTCATCTTCGGCTACAAACGCTAAGGTGTTGCTCATTACATCTGTATTCTTCAACTGGTTATTTATCTCACAGCTAAAGTGATGGTTAGCCTCGAGGCATGTTTACCCATCTGCTAAAAAATAAAAATAGAATCATACACAAAGGGAAAACATATAAAGGGCTTAATAAAATTTATAATGAGTCCTATGATAGATCATCTCTTCTTACTCCTCTCTGTACCTTATTATAGAAAAATCCCTTAAAATCTGAGAAGGAAGTTTGATAAGCTTTAATGAAGTCTAAAAGTAGGAGTTGGTCTTTGCTTGCACCTGGAGTAGCCACTCTTCCTCCACAGGGCCATGTGCTTCAGCAGAAGCTGACTTCAGCACTAGCTCCAGGGATGGGTCCTGTGAGGTCTCAGCCAGTTTGTGCATGGGCAGTGGTCACAAGTCTAGCAGTGGGCATGTGGCCTAGCTTTGTCAATCAAACTGAAGGGGAAGGGCATAATCCACATGCAGGTTGAATAATTTTGTATTGTATCTTGGACATTTTGAATATTGTGAGATTCTGAGTCTTGCTTAAATCCTAAGGAAAATGTTGATATTTGCTTTAGTAAGTAATCAACCTGGTTGGATTCAGATTACAAGTCCCAATCAACCCTTCTGTGAGGTATGGTCTAAATATCAGTTCTTCTATTGAGCCTTTGCTCCAGAGTATGGGAGCCGCAACTACAGAAGCCAGCATGTCCCAGAGCCTGTGCTCTGCAACAAGAGAAGCCACAACAATGAGAAGAAGCCTCGCAGCAACAAGACCCAGCACAGCCATATATAAATAAATAAAATTATTTTTTAAAATTATAAGTAAATAATTAAGTATCAGTTCCTCATTGAAAGCCTATGCAGAGATATTAGGATCGTCTGGCATGAGTGCTAGCCAGTGGCCAGTCTAGGCCCTGGGCAGATATTTATCGCATAATCGATTCTAATAGTTTTTGTGTGCTCTTCAGGACCAGATTCATGTAACGTGCTGTTGAGGAGGGGACCCAGGAGTTCACAGATTAACTCTACAGGCTTGGTTTCCTGAGCTCCTCCTTCTCCACTGTCTTCCCAGGTATCTTTCAGATCCTTTCTGTCTTCCAGCCAGAAAGCCAAGGCCTTTGTTATCTTGTTCTCTCACCTATTTTGAGGGCTAGGGAGCAGGAAGACAAAGAGAAAGAAAAAAAAGTGAGGGGTCCTTTTTAGGACTATCACTTCTCTAACTGGAGGGGACTCAAGGAGATAGTGAAGGACAGGGAGGCCTGGTGTGCTGTAGTTCATGGGGTCTCAAAGTGTCAGACACAACTTAGTGACACAACAGCAACAGCGACTGGAGGGGAAGGCTCCCCTCCCTTAAGACTTCCAGGCAGCTGTGGGCCCTGCTGCTGTCACTGCCAGCATGGACACCACAGGACTGCCTGGCGGCCGGGGCCTGGGAGGAGGGAGGGAGGCTTTCTTAAAGGAGGACGTGTCTACACCTCTTTCTCTGAGTGTCAGAGGCCTCCTTCCCCATCAAGTCAAGATCGGAGGGCTTCTCCTGGAGCTCTCTCTTTCCACGCCTGATGCCCACTTCCAGGTGTGGGCTGCACTCTGTCCAGGCCAGGGCATATTCGTGGCTGTACTTCAAATCCTGGGCTTTTCTAACCCACCTGCTACTATTGACTTCTCAGAGTCCTTAAATTGCTGATCCAGGAGTTCTATCCAGGATTTTAGCTGCATTCAGCAGGAGACACTAGGCAGAGTGTGCTTACTTTGTCTTATCCAGGAATGGAACTCTCCAGAGGCAAGTATTTTTAAATGTAGTAGTCAAATATGGTTATGTGTCTTATAAAATAATAGAAAATCCATAACTCCATAGGTATCTTTTTTAGGGTGAGGAAGTAGGCTTTTAGGTTTTTTTTTTTTTTAAAAAGTAATCTGGTTTACAGAAAAACATTAAGTTAACTCAACAGATGTTACCGGACTGTGGCAAAAATCATGCAGTGGTATACACATGTCATAAGTTTGAGAAATGCTGATCTACAGAACAGAAGCCACTTGCTATTTAGAGCTACTTATACACAGTTCTATTTTACTACATATGAACCTGTTTATACTGTTTGCTTCATTAACTGACCTTGTGGTTGCTCCCTTCTGGCTATTACAGTCTATAGAATACTGTGGAAGAACAGCAAGGTCATCCAGGGGCCTGTACACAGAGCTTTCCTCAGCAAGACGGGTCTGAGGGACCTCCAGAGGAAAGAAAGGAGAAGGGAGCGGTACACACAGATCAGGCAGTAAATGGAGAAGGCATGCATTCAGAAGTTACCTTCTTCTTTTAGAAGGTTGCCAAGGGAGGTGGTGGAGGCCAGTGTCGGGTGTTGCTCCTGGCCTGGCTTTGGGCCACAGGCCTCGCAGCCTGCATCTTTGCATCTGAGCCCACTTAGCCAATGCCACAGCAGACAGGATGTCTAGGCAATTCATGGGCATGATCAAGGGTCCCCAGGACAGATGATGGCAAGAAGCCATGCAATCTACCATAACTCCTTCATAGCTTGATTGTACGTTAATTCAACCCCCCCTAACAAAGAGTCTTCCAGAATATGAATGGACTCTCCTGAGACCACAGTCTCTTTCAGTAGTGCTTCACTTGGCAAGGTCCTGCTACCCAGGAAAATCTACCCAGCTTCACCATTACTGTGACATCTGAGGCCAAAGAAAGTGATGAAACTGTCCAGACTATCCTCAAGTCTACATACAGTGAGAGTACCCGGATGAAGCGCCCCTCTGGGGAATACTCTCCCAGGTAAACCTAGAAGATAATGGTGTCACAGACATTAAATTATCAGCATTGCAGGCAAGAAGAAAGTGCTGGTATGGTGATGCTCTTTACTTAGTGACAGCTATGCAAGAAAAATTAAGTGAAAGGGCAGATCAAATTAAAACTATAAGAGAAGAAAAGCAACAAAAAGAAGCAGAAGCAGCTGGAAAGCAATTATTTCATGGCATTCCTGATACAATTGAGAATTTAAGTTGGAAGGCCAAGTTTGATGCAGAACTCCTGGAAATTAAAAAGGTTAAAATAATCTTTAGAGATGACTTTTGGCCATTCACATTTTGCATGTCAGCTTCTTTTTCCATTAATATTCTAATCGTATTCCCAGTCGTGTGCGTTCAGAAATGGCTGAAGTTGTGAGCGATACAAGAGACATCCAAATGCTGAGCAGGAGTCTGATGGCCGCATTAGTTAACCTTGCAGTCATTATTAAGTGATTCCATCTAATGAGCCAAGTAGTCTCCTTCTATATAAAAGTCTATTAAACAAATTACAGGGTCTTGGGAGCAACTCACCAGGCAATGAAAATCTCACACATATCTGAACATTTTTTCTTCAACAAATAAAAAACAATTAGAGTAAATTTAACATCAGATGGTACTGAATTTTTTAAAAAGTTACACTTCTTGACAAAAGTGGTGCTAACTTTGAAAACAAGATAAGATTAAAACAACCACAATATGGGTGACTGGATAGGCCCACTTTTATTGTTATATTGGGGTTCTAGATAAGAATTGAGAAATGCCAAACCGTTTGGTGCCTTAAAAAGAAAAAAATCAAAATGTCAAGCAGCTCCCACTTTATTCTCAGTTCTTAGCCAGTGAGAAACAGCAGTGTTCAAGATCCACCGTAGCTACACTGTCATGAACTCAGACTGCCCTGAAGAGGGAGCTGTCACTACAGCAAAAGACTCAAAGGCTGAGATGGAAGCCCCATGAGGGTAGAGGGGTTTTTTTTGCTGCTGTTGATCACTGACATTTCCAGCCCTAGAACAAGACTGGGACATCACAGATGCTCAATTAATACTGAAAAACAAAAGGCTGTCCAGGAAGGCCTTCTGGTCCTCCCAAAGTTGGGAACAACAAATAAAAGAACATTCAGAACCTGGGATATATCAGTGGGGTCATTGGCAAGGTTGGATGGTATGCTTTCTTAAAACCAAACCCTCCTTTTTCCTTTAAGTGCAGGTTTCCACAGATCCTGATAATCTCAATCATACCCTCGAGCACAATTATGAAAAAGGAACAGAACTTTAACTTTTCTAATCTGGGGGACACAGCTGCACTCAATTGGAATGTCACTAGAGTATGCATAGGGGTGCTATGCAGCAGGCACAGTCCGCCCAGTCACTGGAGAGAGTGCCAGGACTTTCTTGCCTATATTGGGGTCACTGTAATGTGCTAATGTAGAAATAAACCTCAGTAATTATCATTACATATCTAGTGAGAAAAGTGGTTGTATGTTACATTTTTACAAATGTTACATTTTACAAATCTTTTAAATGGAATTAAAATGCTGGATTTTAAATGCTGGATTCTGCTATTTCTTTTTTTTTTTCTTTCTTTCCAAGAAGAGGAAATGTGTTTATTTATTTTTAAACTTTCTGTTTTATAATGGAGTACAGCCAATTAACAGTGTCGTAGTAGTCTTAGGTACACAGCAAAGGGACTCAGCCATACACATATATGTATCCATTCTCCCCTAAACTCCCCTCCCATCCAGGCTGCCACATGACACTGAGCAGAGTTCCCTGTGCTGTACAGTAGGTCCTTGCTGGCTATCCATTTTAAATATAACAGAGTATTCATGTAGGTCCCACACTCCCTCTCTCTCTTCCCTCCATTCTTTGTACATCATGTTGTTTTGGGAAACTCCACTGCACTCATATGCAAGTATGTTTTAATACTGTTATGAAAATAGCTTTGACTCCCAAAAGAGTTTCAGGGGCTTCTGGGCCACCCTTTAAGACACTGTGGTAAAGAGTATCTAAGTGTGGTAAAGAGTACAACAAGAGCCGGAACTGTGATGAACATTCAGAAGGGACTCTCAAACAAGGAAACAGAGTTCAAAAAGATGGAGGGGGAAAATATCACTGCTTGTAGCCACACTTTACAGGAAAGCCAAAATATTTCAAGTGTGCTTGTGTTACTTTAAATGTTGCTTACTCTTTATACTTTACCATATTTCAACAGGAAATGAAATTGCTATTTGAAGAAAAGAAAAGCCAGTATCTCTGACAAGACAAAACAAAAACCAAAAACCACAGACTCTAATTCCTTCCAGTTCCTATTCAAATGTCGACTGCTCATGTATATTTACTTTTTAGACCATCACTTATAAGTGACACTCTAATTATGAGACCCATAAGTCGCTTTTTCTCCTGCCTTTTCTTCTCTTCAACAACTTCCTGATGACTGTCAGTCAAATATTATTTAACAGGACAAAAGAACAATTTCTAATTACCAATCAGTTCCAAACTACTGCACAGTTCAATCTTTCTGTCTGCATGTTTCCATGAACAGCAATTAAATAGTAATCTACAAATCAACTCACTTCTTAACATGTACCATTCCTTAGCTAGATTCAGGTGATTTCTATCTACTACAAACAATTCATGAAGAAATAGAACAGTTGTATTCATTTAAGTATGGTCAAGAAAAAAGTAATTATTTATGAATCTCACATCATCTCACACCATTATTTTTCCCACACTTAAGAAGAAGCATGATTTTACATTTTCTTTCCCACAAGCAAGCAGAAACAGATTGGTTATGGTATTATGGTTATTGGTCAGGTGGTATTTGACTTTATTATCTTATTTAAATCCATGTGCACCTTAGTAAACCTTCTAAGTTGATTAAAAACTAGGCCAGTACCCCATTGGTCAACAGTACAGGCTCCACAGCGGAGGACCTGGGTTTGAATCCTGAAGCTGCCACTTGTGATGTGACTTTGAGCAAGTTAATCGATGCCTCATTTTTCTCAGCTTTTAAAATGAAGATAATAACAGCATCTGCCTCATAAGTGGATGACAGGATTAAATTCACTAATGAATAAATGAGCAAAGCACTTAAAATGGTGCCTGACACAGAATAAATACTCAGTGAATGTCAACCTCTGTTTTTATATATTTGTCTTCTAAAATAGTCACAGTAGAAAAAAATTGTCCATTATAATCTAGTAGAGCCCTGGAACAATACAAAAGGGAAATATTAAAGAGAGATGACTGTTTTGGTGTCCTTCTCTCTTAAAATAAGTAGCTGCCTGTATCACCTAAGGAAGTGCTGACTAGCCATGGAAAAGATACCAGACATTTTCAAAACTATTGTGATTCTGTGAAACAAGAAGAAAAGAAAACTCAAGAAGACTTGTCCTTCAAAATAGATTAAAGGAATCTTAACAGAAACTGTAACACAGCTATCTAGAAACAAGAGAACTGTGCATCCTTTTTGACACAGATACTTTTATGGGCAAGACAAAACTATCACAGCCCGAAGATGCTTGTCAGTTCATACATACCTGTAAGCACTATTTACACCACATGACATGTAGTAAGAGATGAGGGTGTATGACTCTGTTCTCACACACAGTCTTGTGGCCCACTCTGAGAAAAATGAAGCTTGAAGCCAAAAAAAGAAAACATTCAGGAAAAAATTTAAAAATCCTTGACATCAGGGTTGACTTTATCTAAGGTTTACCTCTCACAGTATATCAGAAGGTTCATCTATGTAAGGCTGGTACATAAAAATGCTAACTGGGAT